ATAAGCCTGACTGCGATTCATTTCGATTAAAATACTTCGCCAAACTTTTTCATAGTTTGTTTCATGTAATTGTTTGCTTCCCTAATAACGTGCCACACTTCTCTTGTGACGCGTACGTAGAGCAAACACGAGCGTATCGGTGGTGAAAATGTTACGCAAACAGTGAGCACTATCAGTTAAGAGATAAGAATAAAATTGCTTAAAATGAGTAAGAAGAGCTCCCTGCCTCGTAGGAAATTTCAATAACTTCGTTATAATTTATCGGTGAGAAGTATTTCTTATGAGCGAGAGCTTCGAATGTAAAGGTGACAACGCTGTTAGTGTACAACTAATTAGTTCCGCAAGATCAAAATTTCTGGAAGGAAGTTCCTCAGTTTGTATCGTTTGTCAATATCTTATTGTGGTGAACAAATCAAGGGGGGCGAGATGATAACACCTAGACAAAAAAAATTTAGTCCATGGGTTCTCAAGCCGCGGTCCGTCGATGTGTTTTGTGTGATCCGTCTGAAACTTTGTATTGTTCTGATCATGAAACAATGTTGGATACGATCATTTTGAACACTTACACTAGATTCGCTAATTCACAGAGTGCCTATGTTTTGGGACATTCTGCATACCCAGTAGAGTACACACAAATTCCAAAGGCACAACATTTTGTGGGCATTATATCAAATAATTAATTAGGAGTACGGACATTTCATATGGCTACTGGCAGATGACTGCACGATACTTTCACTAATGAAGCAATTTCGGACGATAATCTTTCCACATCACACTCGTCGTGTTGGTATTTCCGATTGTATGAACGATATGAAAAGCATGGTTATGGATTAGTTTCCAGTGACCTGACGTCCCTACCAAATTCAAAGAAAATGCTTTCAACCATTCTCTTGTTATACACGCACAGACGTACATCAGAGCGATGCCATCATAGCACAGGCTCGTGGATAATATACACTCACCACTGGCGAAATCTAACAAGCTACGTGGTTTTCAAAGGGATATTTGCCGTTTTCATACACGTCCGTGGGTCTGAACTTGAAGAATGATAGGCTATTCCATAAAAACGCCATTTTTTAAAAAAATACTGTTAAGTGTTCCATAGAACTGCTCAGGTGGGGGTCAATCCAAGACAAGAACGACATAGAAAAGCTCGTACTTCATTGCTTCGAGAGGAATTCGAACTCGCGATCCATCGATTAGTATCGTGTAGCAACAAGATTCTAGACTTGTATGTGATAGATACCGGGTTCGAATCTGGGCTGAGTTACTCGATAACCCGACTGACGTTCCTCTTGGTTTCCCTGAGTATTTCCATTAAAATGAAACAGGCAGTGATCTTCCCCGAAGGGTGCAATTACCATAACTTTTCAATTCTGTATAACTCTGTAGCTGAAACAGCGTCGTTAAGTAATGTGGAAATCGGTCGTCTTGAATTTCATATAATTCCACAATTTTTTCAACGACGTGCAATAGTATTTGAGACGACATAGCGGCGTTTAATAAACACTGACTGAATTTAATGTAGGCTTGCCGTATCTGCCATTGCATACGACAATTTGTTTCATAATATGGAGTTCTGTAGATGGAGGCAGTATGTTTCTCCGAAACGTTGGCATCTGCCTACGAGTCTGCACTGCGCCAAAACCCAGAACACCATTGTCATCGTCCTCACCGCGTCGTGTGGGTTTGTATTTTGTTACCAACGTTTCAGAGGAATATACTCTGTCCATCTTCAGGGATAAGTCAGGAGAGCCAGCCTTCGAATTCAGATTTAAACGCGGAAGACAGAACACGAAATCTTAACTGATGATACTGTCTCTCTGTCGTCACCTATTGCTTGAAATTGGTTTAAATAGCCTGCATTCATCTCGGTGGCCCAGTCGCGTAATGTTAATGCTAAAAACCCCACCTTGGTGGCGCATTGCGACCTAGTTTTGGACTTGGAAACATGAAATTCTGCTGTCAGTGCCAAGGTACAGTTTTGGCTACTCTTTATTGATCGGGCAGAAGTCCCACCGGTCCCTCCTGATATTCTCATATCCAGGGGTCTTCGTTACAACATTTAATGCAATTGTACGTGCAAGATGGTCGCTTTAGTTTTCTAGCATATCAAATATTACAGCTTTCTGACACGTAGACGCTGCAGCTGATTTGAGGTATATGTCATGCAGTCATTAGAAGTGTATAAAATAAGATAATAATACATATTCATCCAACTGCCCACATGCTTCTTAAAAACTACGTAATGGTTATCGAAGAAATTTCGTATTGGGGGCAGCTACCCTAAAAAGTGTAGAACGAATTTAATTTAAGTTTGTACCAGTCTAGTATATTCTCTTTATCAGTTACCTAAAAGAACGTCTGAATTGTAATTTGGTTTCCATAACGGTACTTGAAGACTCTTTATCAAGAAAGCGTATGGTTGATTGTGTTTACAGCATTATCGATTATGAAGATTAGATAGAATTAAAAGGGAAATTGTAGGATGGTTGCAAATGTGTGCAAAAATGGCTTAGAAAGAATCAGGTTTATTAAAGAAAGGTAAAACACTTCGCAGAGGAAGCAATTCTTATTATAAAAAATTGTTACTGGTTATTATTATGATTACTAATAGTATCATGTGGCATGGCTAACCTCAGAACATATATGGCTACTAAATTACGAGAAAGATTGTAAATAACAGAAATCACTGCCGTTTAAAAAGAAAGAAATTTCAGAGTTAATTACGAAATATATTAAGTTTAGGTAATTCATATTTATGTTTATACTCTTGGCTACTGGTGACATATGAAAGTTACTGGGGTCTGGAGACAACGCCCTGTAGGAAATAAAATGCAGTAGGCTGTCGGCTATGATTTGTGTTGTAAGGGAATCTGGTTTATCCTGTTGTTGCAAACTC